TATACAAACGCTTGGGTCTCGTTCGTGCCTTTCAGGTTGAGTTTGCCAAGGATTCTAAAGAGCAGAGTGCTGCTCCCAGTAAAGCGGATAGCCTCCCACCATTCACCACAGCTGTTCAGGAGCAGAAGAATGCAGTGAAAGAGATCGTAAGTCACTTTGTGCTTTGGAATCCTCCGAGTGGGCTGGAGTATTTGCCATACATGTGGTGCGCTTGGGTCTCGTTCGTGCCTTTCAGGTTGAGTTTGCCAAGGATTCTAAAGAGCAGAGTGCTGCTCCCAGTAAAGCGGATAGCCTCCCACCATTCACCACAGCTGTTCAGGAGCAGAAGAATGCAGTGAAAGAGATCGTAAGTCACTTTGTGCTTTGGAATCCTCCGAGTGGGCTGGAGTATTTGCCATACATGTGGTGGGGCGAGGGGAAGAATGGACAGGCCATCTGCCAGAGGTTGCACCAATTCATATGTCTACTCATGTCCCATCATTAGCATGGTATGGATGTTGCAGCATGGCACTGAGGTAGAAGCTGAATAAGGAGATTCCTTCTGGGCCCAATCCTATGAGGTGCTGAGCATCTTCAAGCCCCACTGAAATCGGTAAGGGTTAGGGATGCTCAGGAGCTGGATCTAGGGCTGGCTACTGCCTGTCTCAGATCTGTGATATCCAAAGAGTTAATATGGCCCAGAGTAGTACAGGGAATCCTTGGGGTGGGTGAAGAGATTCCATCTGATGCTTACCATGGAACGTGCTGTGTTAAACACCTGCCTCCCCACAGTGGGGAGAAAGGAGCTCTGGAGAGCCATGGCAAGAAACTGCTGTTTGTGTCTGAAATTCAGGCCCAAGGCAGCCTAATGGAACCTACTGGGATTCTCAACTGTGGCTCATGAGCCAAAATCTCAAGTCACCAGAATGTGTCAAAAGGTCACACAGGAAGCCAGGGGTCAGGAGGAGATTTCAGAGGGGTGCAGAGTAGAGATGTTAAAATGTTAATTAACTAAATGTGCACAACCACTGAAAATTTTCAACAGTTATACATTTACACAGAGGGGACAAGCTGCCCCTCTCCCACATGCTGTTGCCTCAGCTCCAGTCAGGGCAACTAGGCCAAACCACACCTTGCTGTGACCCTGGTGGCCCCACTACCTGGAGTGGGCAGCTGAGCCCGACAGCACCACAGGGCAGGAGTTCCAGGAGCTGCTGCTATCGTATGCATGGTGCCCTTATTTAGCATTTATTCCGTTAATGTGAACCTTCTATAGTGAAGGTAAGAAGTATTTAGTAAGCCAGGTGTTTTTTGCACTGAAGCATTTTACTGGGTAGTGACAGGCCATTGAGCTTTACAGAAGAGTCCTAACACCCAAAAGTCCGAGAACAATTGGCCAGGTAAATAGAGCACTAGACTAGAACTCAGGAGAACTAAGTTTGTTCTCCATTCTGCAACTGGCCTGCTGGGTGACATTGGTCTAGTCACTTCAACTCTCTGTGCCTCAGTTTCTTTCTAAATAAAATAGGCATAATGATTGATCTCTTCTGTAAAGTACAGTGCGATCTGTTGGATGCAAACTGCAATATAAGAGCAAGGTGGTATAATGATTTGAATTGGGCCACTTGGTAAGACTTTTCTTACTCCAGTAGGATTTTGATTCTTTTTATTATCCATTAATTGTAATAAAATCGAGTGGGGTGAAATGAGGGCTGGGAACCTGGACTTCTGGGTTCTACACCAGAATTTGCCACATAGTGTGACCTTGGGGAAGTTACTGAACTGCTCTGTGACCCAGCTTCTCCCTCTGAAATAAGGGTAACAATGCTTATGTGCTATGGAGCAATACAGTTTCTAAGAGCTAGACTCAGGGAGTGTGTCACCTTGATTTCTCATTGGTCTATGTCTCCATTTGAGTTTAAACTCTCACTTTGAGGGGCTAGTAGAACGGGGGATAGCAAAGAAAGCACCTAACAAGAAAGTGAAAGGAAGAGTCACTAACTATACCCATCATCCCCCAGTATTCAAAATCAACCAACTCAGATCCCCTTGTACCTAGTTCCAGACCTGTAACTCACACTCCCACAGCATCCCCTCTGACTGCAGCCCTGCAGCTTGCTAGCTCTTTGCTGGAATGCCTTGTTTTAGGTCAATGTAGCAGAGAGAATTGGTGTACACTGACATAAGAAATTACAGCAAACCACAAAAACCATCCCACTAACTTGAGTGATCCTCTTTGCAGGTGATAGCAAACATGGCTGCAGCATACAAGCGAGAACAGAAAAGCGTGAAAAGGAAAATGAGGAGCCTGCCATCCCTTGCCTTTAAAGTGGAAGATGGCGTGTTTGGTAACACCACTAACTCGTCCCTGAAGAAGTTGAAGAAGAGCCAGTTTATGGCATTTCAAATCGAGACAGTCATGTCACCTGAGCAGAATACATCTGGGATGAAGAAAACCAGCTAAATTCCAGGGTCTAACTCAGGGTCACTGGCAACTTTAGCAGGACGTGTTCTTTTGAGATACCTGCATGGAAGGTTCATACTCAGACCTGGGTAGGTCTGTGGCACGGTGAAAGTTGAGTGAGCATCAAAATGGCCCCACTGCTGTCATGCCTGAGCCCTTCTGAGCCGTCATGGATTCGTCCATACAACATCCCTGAGAGGTGTTGTTTTCCCCACTTTACAGATAGGCCACAGAAGCAGAAAGCATTGTATTGATTGGCTAAAAGCTCCACAGTAAGCATGATTAGGATTGTGCGCATGTTGGTGTAAATCCGGAATAACACCATGAAAATCAAAGTGGTGATTATGGCTGTAAATGAGAGGAGAATCTAGCACAATTGAGAATTGAACCCAGATCTGTATCCCATTGACTTAGCTTGAAATCATCCTTCCTGCCATTGATCTAGATTATTACACTAGGGCTGTGTATGTCCTTTGGGGTGTGTAAATGGACTGAAATACTCATGTTCATCCTGGAGGAGTAAAACCCAGAAAATGAGAAGGTTTTTTTTTCTGATTGCCTAGACAGAGAGATACTTGATCTTTGGCTTTTAGGTTTTACATCCTGCTCTTCACTAAAACAGAATGAATTCTGAAAGTCCCATACAGTCAGTTCTTATGTTGTCTGGGTTACACAGTGTAGCATGTAGATCCAGAAAGGAATGTTGAATACTGCACTTGTGACAAATAGCCTAGGTGTTAATATTGGTTTGTATATAAAGTAACTGTGTCCTAGCTCTGTGATAAAGCTTATACAGAGGAAGAGACTACAGCCATATCATAGTTCTGAGATACATGGGCTATTCTGATTTTGAAAAGAAATATTTATGTCAGCCCTTGGACTTTTTGAAACTGGGTCTCTTACAGCTCCTTTAGGGCTAGGGTTTAACTAAAAATCCTCTTGAAGCAATTCCTTGTTTAAATCTAACTATTTCCACTGGATGCTAACAAAGCACTCTAAAGAATAAAGCATTTGGACTTTTTTGCAGAAAACATTTTCTTTAAGGTGTGTAATTTTCCATCGGCCTGTATGATGGTCTGGGGTAAGTTAAATCTGACTTTTTGTTGTTGGAGAGGAAGAAGGTGAACTCTCTTCCCTGCCAGAAACAATTTGTAATTATCCCCATATTGCCTGGGAGAAGGAGAGATGTGTATGGGAGAAGAGGGCTCATTCCAGTCTTGTTACCCTGGCAGAGTTATACAGCATGTTTATTACTCCTGTTTTCTCTCCCATCTTAGCTTCATGCATTTTGCTTCCTTAAAAAATAATTATCAGAGAGAGCTGATTTATTTCACAATGGACAAAGTGAGCTGAACTTTGGGCCAGCTGAAGAAACATTTTAATTCCATGAAAGGGGCATATAAAAATGGGAGTGTAGGTTAGCTAAACACTGAGGTGAGGCCTTTTTGGCCGATGAGATGCAGGCCCTAAGCGCCTGATGCAGGAGGAATGTGGCCAGGAGTTATTCTGTCTCTCTTGCTCTCTACCAGTTGGGGCTTGGGGCTGTTTCCACGCCCTCTGCCCCTGATCTTGGAGCGAAGATTGGGAAGGGCTGTGTGTTGCCAAGTCAGCACAGGGGCACAGAAGAGGGTTGAGGACAGTATTCCTTGTAAACTGTGCACTTGGGTGGCCACCCAGGAGAGATTAAAATGCTGCCCACCTGATTAGCAGGGTGCCCACCATCAGCAGCCTGTGTTTCTATGTGGCAGCGAACATCTGCATGTGCCTTGTTACCCAGGACAAAATGTATTCTCTACACACATGAAAAAAATTGAAAAACGGGGGGATTGGTACAAAGGTACTGAATGTGAAGCTATAGGTGATTCCCCTGCTTATGGCCAAAGCTTGCTGCTATGCTTCACTTTGCACTGTAAAACAGCATCAGCATTTCCTTGGTTAAGCCTGAAAGGAATAGCACATAGCATAGGCCAGTGTTTCTCAACCAGTGCTACAAGTAACCTTGGGGTACTTGAGAGAAGTCTGGGGGGGTACATTAACACAACTGAAATTTGGAGAAAACTGAATTTTTGTGTTAATTTTTTACAGCACTTTATTATTTTTTTACTTTTACATCCAAACATTTAATTGCCTGTCCTGCTACAATTAAGCTGTTTAAACAAATGTGTTGCAAGGGTAGAAAAATATGTTGTGCCTCTGAAAACTAGGTACTGGGGGGGTATTTATAATTTTTATTTTTTTTAAAAAAAGGGGTACTTTATAAAAAAAAAGATTGAGAAACACTGGCATAAGCAACATCCGCAGCAGCTGAACCTGGGCACCTTCTGCAGAAAGCTGGTGGACTCTGGCTAAAGCAGGGTGAAAATGCAGGGGAAGTGGCAGGAGTGGATCACCCTGCACAGATCCCCAGGCTCACACCCCTTGTTTGCAGCTCCCTCCAGCCAAGCTTGGCAGCTGAGGATCCCCAAAGGGGGAGTCCATCTTCGCCATGCCCAGCCCAGGGAATCCGTGCACCCTGGAGCGCAGGCAGCAGCCCGGGGCTAGAACAGCTGGCCCTGGCGCACGGTTGCAACCCCGAGAGCAAAGCAGGGCTGACAACTTTCGGGCAAAACTGGCAGCAGAAGTCCCGCGAGGGGCACAGGGGCGCCCTCGAGGGGTAGAGCCAGGCGCCCGGCCAGGCGAGGCAGACGCATTTCCGCCAGCCCCCGCTCC